AGAGAGACTCACGCACACACACACACACACACACAGAGAGACTCACGCACACACACACACACACACAGAGAGACACACACACACACACACACACACACAGACACACACACTCAAACACACACACACACACACACACGCGCAGACCCACACACGCACGCACACGCTCACTCAAACACACGCACACCTTTACTTTATTTATATTTCCGTTTAAGTTTTATTAATTTTAGTTCATCAGTACTGCCAGCTAAACATTTCTAATTTTCATTTAAGTTTTTCATATAATATTTGTATTTTATTTCACCTCTATTTCAGTTAACTAAATTCATTTGAATAGTTTTAGTTTAAGTTAACAATAACACTGATCTGTATGTATTTTTCTTCTTGTGAAACACAAAAGGAGTTTTTTTAATGTTCTGAAAGAATGTTTGTAACATTATAAATGCATTTATTGTCAATTTAAAACATCTTTGCTGAATAAAAGCATTCATTTAATTAAAAAATACTTTTGAATAGCACTGTATATAAAACCTTCAAAATGTCTCACTTTCAACATTTGATATGTTATCTATATTCTATTGTGAATAAAATATAAGTTTATGAGATTTTTTAATTATTCCATTCCTTTTTTACTCACAATTTGTACAGTGTCCCAACTTTTTTGGAATTGGGTTTGTATATATGAATTGTGTTTTCCAGCGCAAATCCTGCCACCATGAATCAAGGGTGTTCTCGTATTTTCTGCAGAAAATATCAAAATCTAGCTCTAGCTGTGGTGCAACAGCATTATATTTGGATTTGCGGTCTCTCTGCTACGTTCCTAATGTGCTGGATATTTCAACACAGGTCATGTGATCATATAAAACCGCTTATAAATGTGTGGCATTATAAACCGTGCAGCACAGAGTAATTACTTCCATCAGCTTGTAGTATTTTCTCATGAGGACGCTGCCGCAGAACAAAAGAATCCAAAAAATACAGTAACCCTTTACTTTTTACACTACAAATCTCCATGGCATGCTATAAAGATTATTATATCATCGTATGTTCAACCTTATATCATCAATTATAAAACAGATAGTTCCGGTCCTTTGTTTACTTCTGAGTTGCTCTGCAGCTACTTTGTAGCAACCACAACTGTTTCTGAGGAACTACATTGTTTGGTGGAAGAATACTGTGTTTATTAATATCATTACACTTTATTTGCTCTGTTTTAATTTGTGAAACCTTACTACGTATATGGAATAACCGTTTTATAAAAGCAATAAGCCACGTGAAGCCCCGATAACTCATGCCTAACAACGCCCCTTAGCTGTTATAAATTCACTGTAAACCACGGCTTCACAGGGCTTATTGCTTTATTTTACCATCATCCACTCAAACAACATATAATGATGACACACAAAAAGAGATGCGTAAAAGAAAGCTGTACAATGAAAGTATGCTGTCAAGCTCCAAAAATAGTACAAAAAAGTAAGGAAGTATCATAAAAGTTGTTCATAAAATTCGTAAAAAGCACGTTGCATTTGGTTATCCGCAGCATTGGGGGAATTGGTGATCCTCTGCCCATCTTGACTTCTGAGAGACACTGCCACTCTGAGAGGCTCTTTTTATACCCAATCATGTTGCCAATTGACCTAATAAGTTGCCAATTGGTCCTCCAGCTGTTCCTTATATGCACATTTAACTTTTCCGGCCTTTCCTGTCCCAACTTTTTTGGAATGTGTAGCTCTCTTGAAATCCAAAATGAGCCAATATTTGGCATGACATTTCAAAATGTCTCACTTTCAACATTTGATATGTTATCTATATTCTATTGTGAATAAAATATAAGTTTATGAGATTTTTTAATTATTCCATTCCTTTTTTACTCACAATTTGTACAGTGTCCCAACTTTTTTGGAATTGGGTTTGTATATATGAATTGTGTTTTCCAGCGCAAATCCTGCCACCATGAATCAAGGGTGTTCTCGTATTTTCTGCAGAAAATATCAAAATCTAGCTCTAGCTGTGGTGCAACAGCATTATATTTGGATTTGCGGTCTCTCTGCTACGTTCCTAATGTGCTGGATATTTCAACACAGGTCATGTGATCATATAAAACCGCTTATAAATGTGTGGCATTATAAACCGTGCAGCACAGAGTAATTACTTCCATCAGCTTGTAGTATTTTCTCATGAGGACGCTGCCGCAGAACAAAAGAATCCAAAAAATACAGTAACCCTTTACTTTTTACACTACAAATCTCCATGGCATGCTATAAAGATTATTATATCATCGTATGTTCAACCTTATATCATCAATTATAAAACAGATAGTTCCGGTCCTTTGTTTACTTCTGAGTTGCTCTGCAGCTACTTTGTAGCAACCACAACTGTTTCTGAGGAACTACATTGTTTGGTGGAAGAATACTGTGTTTATTAATATCATTACACTTTATTTGCTCTGTTTTAATTTGTGAAACCTTACTACGTATATGGAATAACCGTTTTATAAAAGCAATAAGCCCTGTGAAGCCCCGATAACTCGTGCCTAACAACGCCCCTTAGCTGTTATAAATTCACTGTAAACCACGGCTTCACAGGGCTTATTGCTTTATTTTACCATCATCCACTCAAACAACATATAATGATGACACACAAAAAGAGATGCGTAAAAGAAAGCTGTACAATGAAAGTATGCTGTCAAGCTCCAAAAATAGTACAAAAAAGTAAGGAAGTATCATAAAAGTTGTTCATAAAATTCGTAAAAAGCACGTTGCATTTGGTTATATGAGACACAAGAACCTTCACTGACATTAAAACCTGCTGCTGTGTGCAACTTCACAAACCATATTTTAATTTACTCGAACGCAAGTCTGCATTTTTAAAAAAAATAAAAAATACAGTAAAAGCAGTAATATTCTGAAATATTATTACAATTTGAAATCGCTGTTTTCTATGTGAATATCTGCTAAACTGTAATTTATTTCTGTGATCAAAGCTGTATTTTCAGCATCATTACTGCAGTCTTCAGTGTCACATGATCTTCAGAAATCATTCTAATATGCTGATTTGCTGCTCAAGAAACATTTCTGATTATTATCAATGCTGAAAACAGTCGTGCTGCCCAATATTTTTGTGGAAACTGTGATGCAATTTATTTTTCAGGATTCACAGAGGAACAGAAAGTTCAAAAGAACAGCATTTATTTGAAATAGAAATCTTTTGTAACATTATAAATGTCTTTACTGTCACTTTTGATCAGTTTAATGCATCCTTGCTGAATAAAAGTATTAATTTCTTTAATAAAAAAAAAGACAGTAGCGCATGTACTACTTTTTTTTTTATCATAGTTTTATCGTATAAAATAAAATGTACTAGTTCCCATTCAGTCGGTCACTCTCGACGTCACGTCGGATGACCGACAAATTGGGATCTCGCTTAGAGAGACCAATCTACTTCGAGCGTAAACTAAACGAGCCAATGCACATTGGCATGCGATTATTGCATCCAGCTGCTGCTGATCACAGCGTGAGTATAAGTAGGCAGCAGATGCAGCACATATTCAGCTTTTCGCTTCGGTTCAAATTTAGTCTAGAACTACAGTAACATCACAGCGTATACTCTTCTCACTATACAAAAACAGATTCAGTATTCCTCAAAATGAATAAAAACAGTCAAATGCAAATTTGGCATCTCAACCGATTTGAATCGTCACATATTTGAATCGATTTCCAACCGGCTCACGGTTAACATCCTTATTAACCAATGTCTTTGCTACTGACCTTCGATGATCTAATTCAACCATACTAATAAGCAAAAATGACACATTTGTGTTTCATTTTTGTTATTGCTGAAGTGTTGAACTTTATTCTCCTGCGTCATATTCTTCATGCAATTTGTTTGAGCTGCGCCCTCTACTGTACAGACGTGAATTTACATTTCCTTCAGCCTGAGGCGTATTCATTTAACTTCTGTTGAGAAAAGAGCTTTTACATTTGTAAAAGACCTTTTTTATATTAAAAACAAACAAGCAAGCCCTGCCCAGATTTAAAAAGTAACTCAAAAGTAATGTAATACATTACTTTCCATAAAAAGTAACGAAGTAACGTAACGTAGTTACTTTTTTAGGGAGTAACCATAGACTGGATAAAAACATGGACGTAGTGTCCGTGACGTCACCCGTAGATTTCCGAAGAGCGTTTCTAAAGCTCAAAAGTGGGCGGAGGCGGCCGTCGCCATCTTGGCAGTGCGTCACTCCCGGATAATTGAAAATGGGCAAAGAGGCGGGAGCAGGTTGCTGAAGCCACACCCACCTAGCTCGACGGTGGTGACAGCAGCGGCGGCAATCCACCTGTCACTCAAGTGGCCACGCCTTTAATTATACAGAACTTTAAGGCTTAATATAATTTAAACGGATGAGTTATAAAAAAAAATTCACCCCCCTCACATTTGTCATGAAGGACAAAATTAGCTATATAGACCAAAATCATTTTTTGAACCAGGCTGTAAACATGTTTTTTTCTGCTGTAAAGTTGGGCATTTTAACATGGGGAGTCTATGGGATTGACTCCCTTTTGCAGCCTGCCTCTAGCGGCCAGTTGATGAATTACAGTTTAAGTCACTTCCGTGTTGGCTTCACGAGAGAGAGTGGGAGGTTGCTGCTTGGGAGTAACGCAATATTGTAATGCATTACTTTTAAAAGTAACTTTCCCCAACACTGGTCATGAGTCACCATTAACGTACATTGTATAAAATAAAAAATAAATAAAAATGAAAATAAAATAAGGTAGTGTATGCACTACTTTTATGCTACTTTTTTTGGTCTTAACAGCTGCTGGTCACCATGAACTTTCATTGCATGCAAAATCTCCTTTTAAATGAGAGAAAATTAAAATCATATGGCTTTGAGCAACATGCAGGGGAGTAAATAATATTTTTGGCTGGAATTCTTCTTCTTAATTTGAGGAGTTGTGATATGAACCGCAGCATCTCTGTTCACCGTACTGAAAACAGATGGATCTACATTAAAGGCTTTCATACTGTTTGTCTGGGCTGAACGCTGGAACATTTCGTGCTTCCAGAAACAGTGGATCCGTTGGGGCAGAAGGCCGTGACGTTCACCCGGAAGCGCTGAGCCTGTGCGTCCTCCAGCCCGATCTGCACCTCCACATCCGACAGCAGCTTCTGGAAGAGAAACGGACAGCGAGAAACAGAAATCAAGAAAGGAGAGCAGCTCAGAAAGAGCCCATTGTCTGGACCTATGATTGCTCTTGTGTAAGCAGGTTCACGGGGGAAAAGGCTGGCGTAAAAATAGCGGCCCGCTGATTGGCGCTCGCAGCATTTTTGGCCCAGGAATCAGAGGCCGTTTATAATGCAGGCTTCTGTTCACCAGGATCAGTGGATTTTGGGGAGGACAATGCATTGTTGTGCTTGCGTCGAGATTATTCCTCTCATTAAACGCATGCCGGAACAGACTCTGGCATTACAGCCTGTGTTTTTCCCCGTTAAACCGAAAGCACGCGTTTTGAAATGTTTGGGACCTTCTGCACTTCTAATCTAATTGTCCTTGAGTGGATGGAGAGAGTAAAGTGTTTACTTTCTATTGAGTGAAAGAGAAAGTAAAGCTGTTTACCTTGTAGGCATGCACTATTAAGTCTTTTAGATTAGATGCTTTGGGAAACAGGCGGCCCACGTAACTTCCAGGAATCAAGTCCAGGAGATCCTGCTCAGAGGAAAAGATGATAAATAATAATGTTCAAAGCAAAAATGTGTTTACAGTAATTGAGAGCGTTAGTGCCCCCACTTTTTCAGCGCTGGTGGTTCTCGAAGTATTTTTTCTATTTATTTTACCCAAAGGGATTGTAAAAAATGTCTTTGTTAAAGTGTAATGAGTCATGAACCAAACTTACCAGCTTAGAGGAAAATCACAACATTATGAATTTTTATTTGAAGCGAAAAAGCATTTGAAAAATTGGACGAGACAAGGCTGTACTTAAACTGAACTACAATCCCATAAAGCATTGCAAACAACATAACTGAATTTAACAGGATTGTGAAATATAAAACGATTCATTTAAAGTTGTCGGTCATACATATATATTTAAGCATTTTGAGATCATATTGAGACAGACTTATTTACATCATGAGCAGTGTTCCTTGCCGAGCTCCGATTGGTGGAATTTTCTTGTACAGCATCATGGGAAATAAAATAAATAAATAAAATACTTATGACATTGTATTGTATAAAATCAACTAAAAAATACACTACTAGTACTTTTATGTTTTTATGT